TAGACTTGCTAAGTCAAAATGGATACATAGGCAAGAGGAGTGATCCTACAGCAACTACCAAACCGTTCAATTTTAAAGTAAAATGTCAGAGGACCGAACTGATTTGAACATGGAAATCAACTATACTTTCGATAGGGGCAGAAATAGAATTTTGGGGACCAGCTATAATTGTAAGAAATAATAGTCATGCTCTGTTAACAGTGATTGTTTTGTTCTGATTAAAGAAGACACATTCTACCCTGGCTCCCAGGTCCTCTCCATTTGGGAGCTGCCTATTATCATGGAAAGATTAACAACCTTGCTTGCAGAAACCAGAGCCCCAGCCCTTTGAAGACTCCCAGCCCTTTGCATATGGTCAGCCCTTTGAAGGCCCACGTGCACGTGCACACACACACACACACACCACCCCCAGCCTTTGCATACCTATAGGCCTTTGCAAATCTGTAAAGGGCAAATCAGCCCTTTATTACCTGTAAACGACCCATTTGGCATATGCTTTTGCATACTTCCCCATGTAATCTTGGTCCTTCTACCCAATATAAGCAGCCAGCTTATGAAGGGCAGAGGGGAAATGGGGGAAGGGGAGGGGGCTGCAGAGCTGATTTTTCTGCTTGACCTGCTGCTCTCCCATGCTGCCAGCAGTATTGAAATAAATGCTCATATATGTTTTAACAATGTCACTGCTGAATTGTCTCAAGAAGTGACAGGCAACACAGACCCATTGATTGTCTGGTTACATACTATGGCAACTATGAAGGGACGTAAACAAGGGACTCCTCTGAGGTGAATACCAGGAATCCTGCTTGCTCCTTGGACTAGGAATTCCTGGGGCTGAGGCCTGGGTTCTTATTTGCAGTGCTGCCAGGAATTTTACTGTTCTGAGTCCTAGCCACCCTCTCAGCAATCCCCATCCTCTCACTTGAGACCTCAGTTGAATCAAGCGTTTTTTGTATGACAGGAGGAGAAATTGTGTTTGTATGGCACAAGAAGCATATGCTGCCTCTAGTCTGGGCTTATTTGTATGGAAGCATATACTGTGTATGACAAGGGAGGCATTTATTTTACTGCCCCTCTTCTGGGGGAGCCTGATCAGCTCCAGGTGTTGAGACCTCCAGCAGTCCTTGCCTGGTCTCGAAGCCCTCAGTCTGATGCACTCTGGGATGAGAGACATTGCTCTGCTTCAGTGAGAGAACTCAGCAAGGAATTTTGAGTTTTCTTTGGCTGGACAGACAAGGAGCATGGTGTGAAGCTCTTGTCTGTAAGTTGTGCAGGCCTGTAAATATTGCACATAAAAATGTCTCTGTTGATGTTTTGTGTCTCTTTGTTGTTTGATTTAATTTGTTTAAAGATGGGGCATGTCCCACTTTGGGGGGCCCACCTGCTTGTGGCAGGCTGAACCTGTGGCAGAATTATAGGAACTTCCCAGCAACTGCTGAGAGTTCTTAATCTTGGGGACCCTCCATGCTCTCCCTCTCGAGGCATCAGCCATCAGAAACTCTTAGCTAGTGAGAGTTCCTGTCTTTCTGTAATGTAACTTTGGTTACTGATGTTCTTTGCTTGTTCTCTATCTTTTGGAAATTAGTTTGCTCTTCATTGTTTTATGAACATAAGGGATCCTCTGTCTCTGCTTTGTCGGCTTTGTGCCACTCAGAACCAGAGGTCATTTGCTATGTGGGGTTAATGTGAGATAAGATTCTAAGGCTAAAGTTCTAGTCCATCCTTTTAAAAGTACCCATTTATATACTGTAGGGTTTTTGTTTGTTTCTGTTTTTAAGATCTCTTCTTAAATGCAAGATTTCATATTGTTACAATCTACTCATAGAGAAAAATATGGGAACTAAAACCTTCTAAACGCCCCCCAAGTCTTTTTTCTAGGAGGAGCAGATCTACAGAAGTGCCGTTTGCAGGCTGCAGAAATAGCAGTGGGGCCACTCTCATTTTTGTAAAGAAAAATAAAATAGTACTTTCATACTAAAGCCACTGGAGGCTGATGAGTTATCCTTGTTACAAAGTTTGCCAAGAAAATGCCTTAGGTAATAATAATTTGCTTTAAAATCTAAGTTGTTAAGACATAATAAATAAATGTAACTAAAATGAAGGGTTTATGATAAAGCTTTTTAGGGATAATTATATATGCCTCAACATAGTTTTCCAAAGTCTTTGGTAACTTAAAACTTTGGAGTTTGCTGGGTTAAATAATAAAAATTATTAAATATCTAGGTATTTTTGAAATAACAGGATGCTGACATATTAATTAATGTTAGTTTGCCTACTTTGAGCTTATTACAGAGAATCTAGAGGCTAGATTTGAATGTGTTAATGAATGTCTTATATTTTATTTGAAATATATCTCTTAAAATGTGAATGAATTGCTAATCTGAGAAATGTTAAGTCTTGTCACCTAAAATTTAAAGTTCTAAGGGTTAAAGATTCTAACTAATTGGAAAGAAATTGTATGGTTTTAGTAAGAAAAGGCATGAGGTATGGAGATACATTTTGAAGTGGAAAGTAAAGTAAATTGTTCTAATGCTAAATGAATAAGTATATTTGTCCTAAAATAAGTTGTTCTAAAGCTAAATGAATAAGAAAGTAACAGAAGGGTCAAGAAGAGAAATTTTTTTTTAAAATATATTTTTATTGATTTTTTCACAGAGAGGAAGGTAGAGGGATAGAGAGTTAGAAACATCGATGAGAGAGAAACATCGATCAGCTGCCTCCTGCACACTCCCCACTGGGTATGTGCCCGCAACCAAGGTACATGCCCTTGGCCAGAATCGAACCCGGGACCCCTGAGTCCGCAGGCCGGCGCTCTATCCACTGAGCCAAACCCATCAGGGCAAGAAGAGAACTCTTAATTGAAGTTCTGCTAGCCTATGTTTGTGTTTAATACTCTTTTGTCACTTTGAATGAATAAATAGTGTAATATTCCAGATATATAAAAAGCCAGGGATTGTAATGCCGTAATGACTGTAATGACCAGTCCTTATGACGCCCACTGTGGCTCTCAGGTAGATATGTCTCCTTTTTCCCCATTGACCCAAGAGCTCTCTATGTAGTTTGCTGAGGCTGATCCCTGGGCAGCATTGCAGCTTTACTTATTCCTCTGCTCAAACCTGCTCTTTTTCCATTCTTCCCATTTACTGTTCTCAAAAGTATTCTTTAATAAGTACTGTCCACTACCAGACTCTCCCACCCCATTAAGGGCAGGGCCAGCTGGC